GTCAACTCAAAACCGTGCAGCAATGCTGAGAGCAGGCACATGTACACTGCTTTCCTGTCTGTTCAGGTATAGAGTGGCTTCACATCTTTGTCATGTGACTAAATGTGTGCAGAAAGTGATCATGGCATGTGCATGTGGACAGTGGAGCCAACATGGCCACCGACATCATGTGACCCATAGATGCTGAGGTTGAGTGGAGGTGGAACTTGGAACCCGCCCGGGCTGTGTGGTCATGTGATATGTGTGCAACAGGTCTATTGCCAGGCCATGCTGTACATTGCACCATCTCTCTCTCTCTCTCTCTCTCTCTCTCTCTCTCTCTCTCTCTCTCTCTCTCTCTCTCTCTCTCTCTCTCTCTCTCTCTCTCTCTCTCTCTCTCTCTCTCTCTCCCTCCTCACTTCCTTCCCAGTCTGTGAACTATGTATTGTACAGTACTGCTAATAAGATCCTATTGCCTGAGTCAAGCTTGCTCCCTGCATCAGTTCACTATCCCAGTGTTGGCAGGTCTGGGGCTCTACCAAATACTAGTGCAATGTAGTCCCCAGTAATATATTATCTTCACTGAAGCTCACCTGTAACCGTGTGTGTATGCTATGTATGTGTCGTGTTGCCATGGTTTTGTTCAGCTGGGAAGAGCGTCTTGATAAGCAGGGTAGAACATACTTTGTGGATCATGCGTCAGAAACCACCACAAGGACCAGACCACTACCTTCGCCCACTGAGTATGTCACTAGGCCTGCTGCGGCTGTGTGCGTGCATGTGTGTGTGTCTGTGTGTCTGTGCGCTTGCATGCTTTCGTGTGTGCATGTGTCTGTGTGTCTCTGGGGGGCTTCTGGAATGGCTCCGGGTTACTGCAGCGAATGAATTTTGGGAAATTCTGGTTGGGCGGGGTACCTTCCCATGGCTGAGCTTGTATGTGTATGTGAAAGAAAAAGAAAAAAAATGGAAAAATGAAAAATAGGGATTCACTGGCCAGAAAAAGTCACTTCAAACAGCTGTGTGGTGGATACCAGGCTAAAATAGTGGCGGAAAATTCATCAGCCTTTCAAGCTGTTGAATGGTGTAATCCCAGCACAGGAAAGTTGCTATGTCTAACATAGCTGTTCGCTATCATCGCTCCCGCGATGGGCATGTCTGAGGTCTGAGGTGTGTATGTGTGTGTTTATGTGTGTGTGTGTGTGTGTGTGTGTGTGTGTGTGTGTGTGTGTGTGTGTGTGTGTGTATGTGTGTGTGTGTGTGTGTGTGTGTATGTGTGTGTGTGTGTGTGTGTGTGTGTGTGTGTGTGTGTGTGTGGTGTGTGTGTGTGTGTGTGTGTGTGTGGTGTGTGTGTGTGTGTGTGTGTGTGTGTGTGTGTGTGTGTATCCTTTCTTTCACTCTCCTGGGTGGTTTCCAACAGCCAGTGCATGCCGGAGTATGTGGTGTGATGTGTGTGCGTGAAAAAAATGAAAAAAGACCGCAAAAATTAGGGATTCACTGGCCAGAAAAAGCCACTGCATAGCTGTGTGGTGTAGACCAGGCTGAATAGTGGCGGTCAATTCTTCAGCCTTGCAAGTTGTTGAATGGTGCAATCCCAGCACAAGTGCTATGGCTTCTGCTGTAGCATCGCTATCATCGCCTCCGGCGATGGGCATCAAATGGTCAAATGGTGTGTGTGTGTGTGTGTGTGTGTGTGTGTGTGTGTGTGTGTGTGTGTGTGTGTGTGTGTGTATGTGTGGTGTGTGTGTGTGGTGTGGTGTGTGTGTGTGTGTGTGTGTGTGTGTTGTGTGTATGTGTGTGTGTGTGTGTGTGTGTGTGTGTGTGTGTGTGTGTGTGTGTGTGTGTGGTGTGTGTGTGTGTGTGTGTGTGTGTGTGTGTGTTGTGTGTATGTGTGTGTATGTGTGTGTGCGTGTGCCTGGGAGGGGCTGTACTTGCATGGTAGTTCTTCAGTAATGCGAGTGAACTACTGAGAGTCCATCGCAGGACCAGCAGGGGGGGGGGGGGGATGCGGATGTGTATGTGTGTGTAGGGGGGGGGGGGGTGCGGATGTGTGTGTGTGTGGGGGGGGGGGGTGGATGTGGTGGTTGTATGTGTGTCCCATATGGTGCAGTGGTATGTGCAGTCGATTTCCAATCGAGAGGTTGCGGGTTCAATTCCCGATGATTATGGTCGCACATGTCTTTCTTCTCTTTCTCGGACTCTTCCTGACTCTTCTTTCATTCTCCTGGGTGGTTACCAACAGCCATTGTATGCTGAAGTATGTGGTGTGGTGTGTGTAGAAAAAAAAGAAAAAATGGAAAAATGGAAAAAGAATAATAGGGATTCACTGGCCAGGAAAAGTCACTTCAATCAGCTGTGTGGTGGATACCAGGCTAAACATAGTGGCTGTCAATTCATCAGCCTTGCAAGCTGTTGAATGGTGTAATCCCAGCACAAGTTGCTATGTCTAACATAGCTGTTCGCTGCCCATCGCTTCCGCGATGGGCAGGTCTGAAGTCTGCCTGTTCTTGCATGGTAGTTGTTCAGTATTACGAGTGAACTACTGATGAGTCCATGGCAGGAGGGGGGGGGGGGGGGGGGGATAATCACACAAGACCTTTGATTTTCTGTAGGATCCCACACGGTATATTCCTACTGTCCCTCTGTATGACCCCTTCTGGGGCCAATGTGACCTTGTAGCAATGGGTTGATAGAACAGGCGGGAGTCTTTCAGTGTGTGTATGTGTTTGAGAGCATGTGCACCCGTGCATGTGTGTATGTGTGTGTGTGTGTGTGTGTGTGTGTGTGTGTGTGTGTGTGTGTGTGTGTGTGTGTGTGTGTGTGTGTGTGTGTGTGTGTGTGTGTGTGTGTGTGCATGTATGGGCACTTGTGTTGGTGATATCTTTTTTGTCGAGCGAATGTGCGCTTGCTCGCCTCACTGCCTATCTCCCTGACCAGTTTGTAAGCTGGTCGTATTCACTCAACATACCCTGCTGCCACTCAGATTGGTCTTGCACCGTGTCAACCTGTTACCAGTAAACACAGACAAGTTCCAACAAACGTTTCGAGATTGCCAGAGTTGATTCTAAAGACAAAGTCACTTCTCCCGTCACAAACACTCACACCTCTTCTCGTCTTCGTCTCGCATAATCACACAAGACCTTTGATTTTCTGTAGGATCCCACACGGTATATTCCTACTGTCCCTCTGTATGACCCCTTCTGGGGCCAATGTGACCTTGTAGCAATGGGTTGATAGAACAGGCGGGAGTCTTTCAGTGTGTGTATGTGTTTGAGAGCATGTGCACCCGTGCATGTGTGTATGTGTGTGTGTGTGTGTGTGTGTGTGTGTGTGTGTGTGTGTGTGTGTGTGTGTGTGTGTGTGTGTGTGTGTGTGTGTGTGTGTGCATGTATGGGCACTTGTGTTGGTGATATCTTTTTTGTCGAGCGAATGTGCGCTTGCTCGCCTCACTGCCTATCTCCCTGACCAGTTGTAAGCTGGTCGTATTCACTCAACATACCCTGCTGCCACTCAGATTGGTCTTGCACCGTGTCAACCTGTGACCAGTAAACACAGACAAGTTCCAACAAACGTTTCGAGATTGCCAGAGTTGATTCTAAAGACAAAGTCACTTCTCCCGTCACAAACACTCACACCTCTTCTCGTCTTCGTCTCGCTCAATCAGAAACACATGAACTGCATGGTTGTGTATACCAGGATTAGCGACCCGGAATCTCCGTGTGTGTGCGTGTGTGTGTGTGTTGGCGTGTGTGTGTTTGTGAGGGACAAGGGGTGTGGGTGGACAAGGGGTGGGTATGTGTGTATGTGCGGAGGGGGGGGGGGGGTGTACATTGGGAAAACAAATGGCAGAATGTGTCAGGAAGAATTCGTTAGCAGGGAATGTCATTTCTGTGGTATGTGTGCAACGTATCCTGTTATACGGTCACCTGTTTGACAGCTTGATGTTATTCATATTGGGTACAAGCACTGCCTGTAGATTCCAGTCATAATGTCATTATGAGTCATGATTATTATAACAAAGACTTCTTTAGTTCATTCTTAATTATATCATCAACGCATGCAATCCATAAGACGAATTGTGTGTCCAGAGCTTCAAGTAAATGTGTGATTCTGCCTGTGTGTGTGTGTTGTTTGGTATGTGTGCTGGTGTGGTGGCTTGTGTTTGGGTGCGTGTGTGTGGTGGTGTATGTGCACCCTCTCTGTTGTACACTCTCCAGGGCTAGCTGAGCTTATGAAGGTCTCTATTGGATAGTGTTTAGCAGTTGAGATTGGTGAACTTGACCAGCACTGGACAAGGATCATTTCCAGCAGCTACTGCAGTAAGAGATACTCCAACAGCACACTACCTGTCATTGATCACAACACTGTGACATCACTTGTATAGACATGATGTATACAGATTGTCTATGACACACACAGTGTTGTGTTAGTATGTAGATATAATGATCAACTGAACTACATGTACTGTCTAGTCCAGTCTACTGTGGTATCAGTTTAACTGAATGTGTTCATGTCTACTCTCACCTACTGTTTTTACACTAGTCACTGTACAGAATAGTTACCGCTATGTCAGTTAAACCTGCAAAACTCTACTCTACACATGTTTATACTGCAATGTATATTGCCATAGCAGTGTCAGCATCTGCGCAGCTCCTTCAACACCATTTCCAATTGTGGCCGGCTTTTCAGTAGACCACAGGACCTATCCTGCCTGAACATGGCAATGTGTCCAAGGTCCAATGGGTTTGTGTGTACGTACGTACACGCGTGCGCACGTGTTTGTGTGCGTTTGTTTGTGTATGTATTATGTGTCTGTACGAGTACTGTAGTTGGTGTATTTTTACTAAGACAGTACAATACTCACTATTCATATTTCCAGCTCCTTCACCATAACAATGAGAGCCAGGCAAGTATAGAAGAGCGCATGCTCCAGTGGTTCTCTAGTGCTGTGCTGCTCTCCTTCTCACTCTTGGCTACTCTCTTGTGTAAATACTTCGTCCGTATAATTATTCAATACTACAAAACCCCTGTGTTCTGGAAGTGTGAGGGGACTTAGTTTAGTCGGGAGCTAACATGACTGTGTGTGTGTGTGTGTGTTGGGGGGGGGGGGGGTTGCACATGGATGTATGTGTGTGTGTGTGGGGGGGGGGGGGTGCACATGGATGTGCATGCACGTGTGTGTGTGTGTGTGTGTGTTTGTTGTGTGGGTATATACATACTCAGCGGGACAGCATGCCAAACTAGAGTGTGCCCATTCATCCCAAGCTCATGATCGGGATCCTACCTCTGCCAGTATTTGTTGTAATGATCAAATTCATCATGGTTCAGATCTACAATGTACTGTCGTGAACATTGAAATCAGATGGGATGACCTGGACCGGCACCCTTACTTCTGTTTGCATGTACACACACTATAGTTTATGTACTGACTGTAAAAATGGACCAGCTGTGCTCACGGCTGCAAGGTCAGTGCCCAGTGGCCGCTTCACTTCTCAACTGTTTTCAAAGCCCACGACAGTACCTTCAAGTGTAGATAAATGGAGGTGGCAAACGTCACGGACCATGATTCTGCGGCGATACTGCACCCAGAGATCACTAGCCGTGCTCATGGGCAGGCAGAAGAGTATGTATTGTCTGCGGGGGCGGGGGTCTGAGCCCTTTGGATGTGGATGAGCAGATAGTTTAGATTTGCCACGAGCGCAATGGCACACAGTGTTCAAGGGGGGGGGGGGGGTGCCAACAGCAAGTTGCAGTGTCGGCATGCCGGTATCGTACAGGCACGCCTAGACTGCATGTGATTTCAGGCTTCATACTGCAACACTTTGTATGAAGTAAGCGTAGTACTTCAAGTATAAAGTACCTTGAATAGTGACACAATTAAGTACCGGTAGTCGGGTACAGAAAACAGAGTGACTTGGGAGCAAGTAGTAGTGATGTCATAGCAGGACAGCTGGAAAGTAGTAGTGATGTCATAGCAGTACAGCCGGAAAGTAGTACTGATGAGTGATGATATAGCCAATGCCCCGCTTGTAACATAAAAATATTCATAATACCAGTACTGTCCCTCTCCATGCTTCCAGGATGGTGGAAAGGGCGGAAATTGAAATGGAAAACAAATTGTGAACGGCCCTAGGTGAGAAAGAGAACATAACTTCTTGGTGATCGCCGTCGGAAACAATGCACATTGGCTATGAGAGTTGTCACTGATAGGACTGGAAGATTGAACAATGCGATGTCGTTATTTAACCACCTATGATAGAACACAGATTGGGCCGATCTAGGGCACTAGTGAATTTGCCACAAAAAAAACCATAGCTATGTGAATAAAAATAATAATATCAGCGGCATACTTGAAGTAGTGAGGGTAGGTAAGTGTAATTTGTCATGTGACCAGCATTGATGGTGGATATGCTAAAATACATATACATGTAGAGTAGTGATGATACTAGCATTGAAACTGGAGAATGGGACGGTCAAGGGTGGACTGGGAGGAGACTAGCATTGAAACTGGAGAATGGGACGGTCAAGGGTGGACTGTGAGGAGACTAGCATTGATACTGGAGAATGGGACGGTCAAGGGTGGACTGTGAGGAGACTAGCATTGAAACTGGAGAATGGGACGGTCAAGTGTGGACTGTGAGGAGACTAGCATTGAAACTGGAGAATGGGACGGTCAAGGGTGGACTGTGAGGAGACTAACAACAGCAGTGAGGATGCACACATGCACATGCACTGCACACTGCACATACACTGCCGACTTGACCTTTTTACTGGAATTTCTTCGGTTCGTCCGGAATCAGAACGTTGGCTGGGGTGGTGCCAAGTAGCATGGAATGGCACTCGTACGACTTTGATAGACAGAAGCGACTGTCTGTGCCATACAGAAAATCAAAGATCCCCAGCATGCCGAAGGTTGAACCTGCAGCAGCCAACATAAACAAAAAAATAATATCAGGTTTTTATATACGAGGTACACAAACTCATCGGCAGGCACATGGGCCTAGCATGGAGTCAGCAGTGAGACGGTGCTGGTGGGACCTGCCATGCTCAACTGACCAGAGGTCTCGGCATCATCGAATGGCAGACTCACCAAACTGAGGGCATTGCAGTACATTGGATCAGAATCAGACAATACATATAGGAACATTCATGGTAAAAAGAGACAACAACCATGACACTGGTATGCAAGTGAACTGCTGCCGTGCTGGAAACAGGGAGCATTTCTTTTCTGTTGATGGGGCAGCGATTGGGGGAGTAATAAAGTCGTCACCAAAAGAAATCCAGCCAGTGCCATGGATACCTATACAGTGGCATGGTGCCTGTCACAATCGCATTCATGCATTTACAGTCATTAGAGGGTCTACCAGCATAGCACTGAACTAAAACAGTCCGCGGCTCTGCACTCTGCCTGCTGCAGTCGAGTCGAGCACAGCACAGACTGTAATCGAATTCCTTTCTACTTTAGGTCGGACCCTAGAGCACTACCAATTCCGTCTGTAAGCTCCCTCGATCCCTCACGACCACACACTCAAGACCCCAAATACGGCTTGTTTACAGGAATTAGTCTAAAAGGAGAGTAAAAAGATCCACAAAAGCCAGCCTGATGCCGCGAGGTTCATGCCCTCACGCGCATCAAAGAACCATAGCAAAAATGGCGCACAGCATGATCAGATCACATGATCATGCTCTGATCAGCGATTCAAAGCGAGTCAACATATGATAACTAAATTATTTGAATCTTTCGAAAAACTATGATGTCAAAACATCAGTACATTTAGAGAATTATTTGAACAAGATCGAAGGAGAAGATTGATTACTTTATAGTCAACTGCAAATCATGCAATTCCATTACACCTCACCGCCTGATGACATAACCATTCATGCAATGAATACCTGAATGTCATCAACAAACTTATACTACACCTCACCGCCTGATGACATTATAAATAAAAGCACAAGAATAATAAAACAGAAACAAGTAAGGCAAAGAAGATGTCACGAACATACACATGACTTGAATATACACACATACGCACACACGCACGCACGCACACATACCCACACAGATGCGCACACGCAGGCCAACAACGGAAAGTTAGTGACTATACCGTGCTGGTGGTACAATAGCAGCCCTATCACGCAAGCCATATGCCCGCATAACTGAGGGCTCGGCTGCTGGCAACACACGGACATACGTGGCACTGTCACTGTCATTCTCTGCAGCGGCACCATCCACAGGTGCTGCTGGGGCTGGCTCTGTTTGCAACGCATTAGGCTTCAACAGTTCCACATTGACCGTTTTCTCACTAATCCGGCCGGTACTGGAGTTGGTGCTGCTGATGACAACGGTAGACGGTGACACGATATGCACTACAGACCAACCAGGTTCATATGGAGTCATCCGTTTCTGGTGACGTTCTGGGCGACGGAGAAGAACTGGGGCACCAACGACAAACGGACACTCACTCTCTTCAGTCAAAACAGCATCAGACTCGGCCACAGTATCATTGACAAAGTCACGAATCCGAGCGCACTTCAGTGATAGTTCAGCTGACCAGGACATAAGCGAACCTTCGACAACAGGACGCTCTACGATCAGGTCACATGGCTCCCAGTTGACCATGGCCATCATTGGCGACATCTGGATGGCAGCATGGGGGCGAGTACGGTAGTAATACAGTAATACCTGGAGCTCTGTCAACCAATCAGACGACGAGTCAATGGTCTTACGGATCATATTCAGCAGGGTACGGTTAAAGCGCTCAGCGCTGCCCTGCGACTGCGGGTGGCGAACTGCGCCGTGGCGAACATGCACACCGAAGACATCAAACAATGCAGAGACCATGGCATTACAAAACTCTGACCCATTGTCGCTGCGAATGACACGTGGAGGACCCCATCGGGTACACAACTCCACCAGGCCGGCAGCAACACTGGACGCATCATGTCTCTGAAGCGGAATAATTTCTGCCCACTTTGTGAAAGAGTCAATACAGACCAACACACAATGACACCTGCCACTATGACACGCACCCAACTCAAGGGTATCAATGTGGACTACTTCCCACGGTCGGCTGGGCGAGTCGGAACGCACTTTCGGAACTGGGCCAGCAGACATAGAGCTGGCACAACGACAAGGGCTGCAGTCTCGGACATACTGCTGACAACTCTCAGCTAGCTTGGGAAAATAGCACCGACGGCGGATACTGCGCCACATGGCCTCCCAATTGCCATGGGCAGTAGCAGAATGTGCAGACGACAATACCTCTTCACGAAGCGACATAGGTAAAACGGGCACTGCGACTTCACCATCTATCGGGTCCTTTACACTGCGGTACAATACACCTTCAACGACTACAAGCTGATGCTGCACACGCTTGAATGCAGCCACAGACACAGGCTTACCAGCTACCAAGTCAGAGATAGTGGCACAAATCAATTCATCACGTTGCTGTTCAGCAGCTATCTTGTCAAGTGAGACAAAAACCGATGACAATGATGGCAACGGCACAGAAACAGAGATACCACACGTACCCTCATGGCGACGCTCATCTGCAGACTTGAGAACAGTCTTGGCGAGAGCTGTCCATCGGTGCGGAACACGGGTCAGGCAATCGGCATGATTCTGCTCACTTTTCACCCACGCGATGGTGACCTTGAGCCCAGCAACAGCGATCATGTCCGACAGGATAGCCAAACGACGTTGCACCAGAAGGGCTTGCAGACCCGACACTTTGACACGGGACGCGTTCCGTAATGTAGCTTGAATCCACCCGTGTACAGTCTTAGAGTCGGTCAAGAGGTGCACTTCACTGACGTTCCAGTCAACAGCCAATTCCAGAGCTCGGATGGCGGCTTCTAGCTCTGCGACATTGATATGCCGCTTGTCGTCCTTGGCCCTGAGCCACGCGCGGTCTTCCACTGTTACACCGCCTGCTTCCAGGACAACACCATACGCCAGGTCAGATGCGTCACACCACACTTGCACTCTACCGGTACTGACTGGAACATGCCACTGGCCACG